TTATTATTATTGTTATTATTATTATTGTTATTTATTGTTATTTATTTTTTATATTTCATGTTTATTTACTTATTGACCTTTTTGTTCTCATCAGCATTTTCTTGCCTCTTTTAGGTCTGACCCGTATCGTGCAGCTCGACCTGGACCTTAAATACAGGACCAACATCAGGGACCTTTTCCAAGAATTTGACAGATTCCCTCCTGGAGCAGTAATGGGCATCGCCAGAGAGATGCAGCCAGTGTACAGGTAAGGACAACACGTCAGAAACATAAGCTATGTATTAATGCAGTCAACAGGAAACTGAAATCTAACATTGATGCCTGCAGTGACAGCTGACACAGAGCCAGCCCACTGCCTCATCATGGCTTGTAAAAGGATGACTTGCACATAAAAACTGAGATTCTTGTCACTTGAGTGTCTTTTCGTTTGAAGTGTCTTTTTTAAGTCAAAGTTTTGACTGTTTTATCAGATATAGTAGATTTTTTTATATTTTTGCATTATAATTTGTATTTAGTCCACATTTTGGACTTAACGCTAATTTTATTTTCATATTCACCAGTTCAGCGGTTTGGCAGGAAAACCAGGTTTACTGAAAACAAAAGAAGCATTTTACTTCGTAATATTTTTGTTCAATTTTGTTTCACAGAATGACGGAATGATATGATGGTTTCATGGGTCTACAGATCTGTTGATCTGTACATGTTCGGTTTTGCTCTTCATGTTGGATAAATTATTGAGAAGTTGGCAGAGTTCAAGCAAAGCTCTTTCTTTTCAGGAGAATGTTTTGTTCTTTAGGGATTTGGGTATTTCTGTTTCTTTGTCAGATCTGTCTGTAAATACATAGTGTGTTCGTGGTCGGTTGGTTCAGCTGCAGCAGCACATTGTTCAGGTTCAAAATAAGCCACTTCTCTTGACCGTCAGCTTCAGTGTAGGCTTTATCAGTAAGCTCAAGTTTTTAAAATCAGAATAACTTCAGGAATCAACACCCAAGATCTACACTGTCCTAACTGGTTTCTGTTTATCTTAACTTTAAGTCTTGGCTTTTAAGGCCATAAACTCTTGTTAGTGACTGAAAGAATTGCAGATGCAAGCGGTTGAAAGGAGTTTTCTTCACTGGATAGCTGGACTCTCCCTTTGAGATAAAGTGAGAAGTTCAGTTCTTCAGGAGAGACTCAGAGTAGTGGCTCATCTGATTGGAATGCCTCTTCAACGCCTCTCTAGGAGGTGCTTCAGGCATGTCCGACTTGGAGGAGACCCTGAGGAAGACCCAGGACACGCTGGACAGACTACGTTCCTGCATGCTACTGCCGAAATCGTGCCGAAGTGTCGCAGTTTTATGACGGCAGCGGTTTATAAAGATAGTCAAATGGCCAAAACCTCATAAAAGGGGATAAAATAGACATTTTTCACGGTGGAATCTGACTGATAAAAACTTTGGAGCTTAATCCGTGATCAGTTTGTGGATAAACAAGTGAGCCGCAGACTTTTTTTTTTCTGCATTGCACTCCACCGGGAAGGAATCCCATGCAGTGACGTATGCTGCAGCGGGAGGGGTTTCCCAGGAGCTTGGCTCGGGGTGTCAGGAACTATGAAAGGTGTGTGCGAAAACGAACGCTGAACAACCACGTGACGGCGCGTCGAGCGGTCGGCTGCCAAGTGACCATACTACTTACTTATGTCTCTCATCCTGGTTCTCCTAAAAGAGCTGGAAGAGGTGGCTGTGGAAAAAGGAGGTTTGGATAGGAATAAATACAAGTTTCTCTTATTAGTTTTAGTTTATTATAAAGATGTGTGACAGTGGTTCCCAAACTTTTTATCTTCTGACCCACAAAATATTCATGGCAAAAACTTTTGACCCCAAATATTACTGGTCTGAGTACACAAACTTTGTTAATAACCCTAAAAACACAGGCTTTTTGACAATCTAAACAGCTTGTACACAAATATAAATACTTATTTATACTTATTTTGAGTTTTTGTAATACTTATAGGGAAAATATTACATCAGCAATTACTGTATTTTATTACCCTTTAAATTGATTTCTGGAGATTATCCAAAG